TCTATTCAAATGTTTATTGAAAATTGATCATTAGGATTGTTATATTAAATAACTTTAAAATGTGTTTTGATATTCTAAATACATTGTAATGAAAGGCGGTGATTTTACTTTTTGGAAGAAAAGGTTGACTTTCAGTCTTCTGGGAAATGGCAGTTAATTTTGCTTTTATTTCACCCTGGTATTTTACTAACAGCATAGTATGTTTATAGATGTAACATTTATAGCTGTCTCAAAGTTTGGCATTATAGCTTAGTGCATCAGTATCTAGGGTCTGTTTCAGGTCCTGCTTCCTCGCAAATAAATGAATGTCTAAAATTCTCCTACTCTTGTTTCCTTGTTTATAAAAAGATCTAATAATGGCTCACAGAATAGTCAAGTTTAAATTAAATCAGCCACTCAAGTTAAAATTCTCTGCATCTGTATGTGCTGCATTTTAATTCTTTCCCTCTGGAAATTCCAGGACCCTTGCTCTCCTTCAGACTTCACTTAATATTATCATACATAGCACCGAATTTTGTAAAGTGTAGACTGAACACAACCAAAGCGAGATTTTTATGTTCATTAATCATTCCACATAAATAAGAATTTCTTATGAGGTATGTTGTTTCCTATCCCTTTATTAATAAACTGCTGAATCAGGTACTATCTGCAGGATGGTTTCAGGTGGTACAAAAACAACTTCTTACATGTTTTGGGGATTGACAGTGGATTTGGCCACATCTAGCTCAGGGCTTATTCCAGGAATCACTCCTGGTGGTGGTTGAGAATCATGTGTGTCAGATACTGAACTCAGGTCAGCAGCATGCAAGACAAGCACCTTGCCCGCTCGCCATACCGTCTCACTGGCGTCCCCTGTTAAAATTTAAAGATATACTTTATGTATGAATAAAAATATTTTATGTCATGGTCACGGTCACCGTCCTCCCATTGTTCATCGATTTGCTCGAGCGGGCCCAGTAACGTCTCCATTGGAGACTTTGTTGTTACTGTGTCTGGCATATCGAATACTCTCGGTAGCTTGCCGGGCTCTCTGAGAGGGGAGGAGGAATCGAACTCGGGTCAGCCGCCAACATGGCTGCTTGCAAGGCAAACGGCCAACCCACCAGGTTTCTTATATTCTATCTTAAAAGTTTAAGAAAATAAATGAAATCCATCTTTTGACTAAGCTGCAATCTACCCACCCTCTAGGGATCTCATTGTTTTCTTTTTTCTTTTTTTTCTTTTTTTTTTTTGCTCTTTTTTGGGTCACACCTGGCGATGCTCAGGGTTTACTCCTGACTCGCACTCAGGAATCACTCCTGGCAGTGCTCAGGGGACCATATGGGATTCTGGGAATCAAACCCGGGTTGGCCGCTTGCAAGGCAAACACCCTACCTGCTGTGCTATCACTCCAGCCCCACCTGGCCACTCTTAAGATTTACTCCTGATTCTGTGTTCGAGGATCACTTCTGGTGGTGCTCAGGGGAACACATGTGGTGCTGGGAACTGTCAGGTACACCCTTCTACTATCTCTCTGGTTCCTCAAGCATTCCTTATGACTTAATTAAATTGAACATTGTTTAATATTGAATAAAGCAATGTTTATAGTTATTGACTATACCACTGTCAATTACTTTTTGTTATGTTTAGTTATTGGCTATCCCACTGTCAGTTGCTTTTTGTTATATTGGCAACAAAATATATTAAATTAAGAACTTTTGTTAATTTTTTTGTTTTTACTTTTTGGGGGGGGTTCACACATAGCAATGCAGAGAGGTTACTCCTGACTCTGCACTCAGGAATTACTCCTGGCGGTGCTCAGGGGACCATATGGGATGCTGGGAATCGAACCTGGGTTGGTCGTGTGCAAGGCAAATGTCCTACCCGCTATGCTGTCGCTTCAGCCTCTGTTTTTATTTTTTGGGTCACACCCAGCAATGCACAGGGGATATTCCTGGCTCTGCACTCAGGAATTACTCCTGAGGGTGCTCGGACCATCTGGGATGCTGGGAATCAAACCCCGGTCGGCCGCGTGCAAGGCAAATGCCTTACCTGCTGTGCTATCACTCCAGCCCCTAGAACTTTTGTTAATTTTTAAATGTAAATTTGACTATAATAATTTGACACATGATCTGGTACTTAAATTTACTATATTTGGGTACCAGAGAGGTAGTACAGTGGGTAGAGCACTTTGCCTTACATGTGGCCAACCTGGTTCAATACCCAATACCCCATATCGTCCTTTATCCACCAGAAGTGATCCCTGAGTGCAGATCCAGGAGTAAACTTCGAACACCAACAGGTGTGGCCCAAACCCCCAAACACCCTCAAATTTATTCTATTTACCAAAGATGTAAAATTTTTATTATATTGAGTAGGATTGCTTTACAACTATTATAGGAATACATATTAGTATGGTTAAGTATATAGTTTGTGCATAATTTCTTACTCAGTTGGAGGCATAAATTTATTTCCAGTTCTTAAAAACTATACAATTAGGATTTATAACCCCCCACACCCCCACCCCCGCAAATGGAATAGTCTTAAAACTATTTATATGTGGCAGGGGCCTTGTCTGATTACAGAAAAATTATTCAACAAGTTAATGTCTTTTTATACATGTGTGCAATTTTTTTTAACATTTTGTATGTGATCTTTTAGTAAACAAAATTTTTAAGGGATTATCTAGCAGTTAATGATTTATTTTTTGTCTTCTCATATATACACAGTATGTATGATTTTTCTTTCATTTGAAGGGTAAGTTTAGGCTACACCCAATTGTGCTCAAGGCTAACTCCTGGCTCTGTGCAGGGGGGTCACTCCTGGCAGTGCTGAATATCAAATTGCAGTTGACTGTGTGTAAGACATTCCTACTATCTCATTCCTACTTTGGACAAACTGGTAGGCTACCGAATGTAGCCTGCCCACACGGCAGAGTCTGGCAAACTCCCCGTGGCATACCCAATATGCCAAATACCAGTAACAATGATGGGTCTCATTCTCCTAAAGAGCCTTGAATATAATCTCAGGGCTAGGATGAAGGAGACGTTACTGGGGCCTGCTCGAGGCAATCGAGGAATAACAGGATGGTCGTGTGTGTAAGACAAGTTTCTTAACCTCTGTACTATCTCTCTGGTCCCTGATTTTTTTATATTTAAAATTTTTGAGAAACCTTAAGTGAGGTGTTTCAGACTAAAGGAAGAAATAAAATGTTTTGTGTCAAACACCTATTAATCCATCTGTTGTTTATATGCATTTAGTAGTACTACTGGGAATGATAGATTTTTCTATCCTCTACCTTCGCGCTAATTTTTTCCCCCAACTATGTTGTCATCCTGGTATACTTAACAACAGTGCGGGCATGAACCAAGCCCAGAATGTCAACCAGCTTTGGCCTTCTGTTCGCCCAGCAGTGTTACCCTTGCCTAGGTACAAGGCAGCCGCCTATAGCTAGGGCCTATGTACTAACTTTATTGATGTACTCTTATAGTCTGTTGGAATATAAACATGCTTCCAAAAACTTATTTGTTAGCATTTGAATTGGGGGCAGGAGGTTGGGCTTGGAGTTGGCTCCTTTTATCCTGAACCTTGTCTCTGTAACCTAGGGACTTGATTACTAATCCTGTCCCCTACTGTAATTTTACTGAAAAGGTAAACAAAAGGTAACTCCTCTTTATAAAACTTGGGGAACTTTTGTGTTGAGAATATCTCAAAATAATTATATGAGTACAAAATGAGATACAGAGATTCCACGATTTTATATTTCAATTATTATCCACAGTGGCGTGTTTATGAAATCCCAGCCTTTCATTTACTAAGGATAATAAAAGCACTGTCTCTTTTCAGGCTGCGATTTTGTGGCTTCCTTTCTCTTGTACAGTCACTTCCAGGTATTGGCTTCTCTGAAATTGAGGGGCTATTTAGTTAATCGAATTTCCTATTGTGTGGAAGAGAGATTTGCTAGCAACAAGATCAATGTCTTTAATTATGTCATTTCATCTGTTCAACATAAGGTCAGGTTGGCGCAGGAGCAGGTCGAGAAAGTAGAATTTTCTAAGATCCAGATTCTTGCGTTGCTGGGCACTGCTAATCCCCCACCCATTCCTCACCAGTAATATGTTCTTTGTTTCAACTTGCATTCCCTGGAGTAAGGAGAAACACTTGTTAATTATTGGGAAATGGATTCCTTACCTGATTTCCCCAGACCCAAAGTTTCAATGACAATTGAACATGTTTTGAAGGACTGTTTTTCAAAGTTTCTTTGAAGAATATAATCAGGGCTTGTAAAAGAAGAAGACAATACCATATAGTCTGTCTTTTCTATGAACTTAAAATATGCATTAACTGCTTTATTAAGCCAACAGGCATTCTCATCTCTTCCTTGACACTTGTCTGCCATTTTCTTTACTTTCTCTGCTTCCAGATGTTTACATTCTGCCTTCCTGTTTTAGGGTTGGTCTCGTATCTAAAGCACCATACCCTTATTTTCCCTCTTTATTTAGGTTCCCTTGAAAGATAGAAGTGCCAGAATCCAACCTATGATTTGTTTTCCTTGGATTTGCCAAGGTACTATGGGAACAGAGCAGCTTAGTGTCTTGTGATTCATTATCTCTGGTGACCTTGAATGTTTATTCCCTTGGGCAATAGTAACAGCCATTGACACCTCTAATATATATACTTGCAGAGATTGAAGAAGTAGAGTATTCTGTTGCTTATTTTAATATCGGGGGCTTTTAATTTAGTAATTAATTTAATTTCTATTCATTTAGTGTAGGTTACTAATGATCCACAGATTAATTGTTTGATCTTAATTTTTCATACTATGAAAATAAATTAAATTTTTTTTTGCAGTAGTTTAGAAATTGCTTTGTGGAACATCTGACTCTAAATGGAATTTATTTCTTTTCCTTTTAATTCTTTTCCAATATGAGGAAGTGCCATATCAAAGAGAAAATATGATATGTAGTAGCTACTTCATCATGGGTTCATTTAAAAATACAGTCACTACTTTTGTCTTATAGGACAAACAATTAGAGCGAAAAGAATTATTGAAGCAGCAAATAAAAATGAAGTAGACTATGAAGTGGGAAATATCCCAACAGAGTGGGAAGGTAAGTTTCTGCTTTCGGTTGTATCTTCTGGAAACCAAAAGGCTTAACTGTAGGAAATCAACCAGGGCCCAGGGCATATAAAATTGTACTTTTGGAGTGGGGGGGGGGGGGTGTTTGGTAAAAAAAATTAGAGTCTGAATCCATGAATCTTTTTTAAAGCATTGAATTTCTTTGAAAATTGTATCATGCTGAATTAAGTCAGTCAGAAAGAGAGGCACAGACACAAAATGATCTTTCTTGTTACATGGGGTATGAAAAGAAAGTCATAGAGCAACAAATGGCCAAAGGCAGCTAAACTGAAAAGTTGTTATACCAAATTGAGCTTACCTTAACGGAGGGCAAGAAAAGTGGGGTTCTTAGTGCCTTGGTGGTGGGAAGCAGGCACTTAGGTTTTGGGTATGGTTTTGGATCATTATGTGCACAAAACTCTGACATTAACAGTACTGTAAATGATGGTCGCTCAAGTGTTGGTATGTGGGAGGGGTGGATGGCGGAGGTTATGAAGACCTCCTAGTTTAGCGTGCATGCATTGTGAATTTATCTCAGCTGGTACTGTTAAGCACTAGCAGACCTGGAGTAGAGAAGGTGAGTGAAACTCCTAAGATGCAAAACTGAAGAAGGCTCATTTTCAGTTCATGCTCAGTGTTTGAGTCCTACTTCTGGTACTCACTACCCACGAAGCTTAGGAAAGTAACTCGTGAGAAAGTAATTTATACTTCTCGATTTTAGCTTCCTCTTTTATAAATTGTGGATAATACTTGCTGGAGATACCTTATTTGTGAAACTTACAGGAACCCTCTGTTTAGGATGGACCCTTGGTCCCAATTTTAAAGATTGTAGAATTAAAGTTAAAAAAAAAAAAAGGTCAAAGAGAAATTATGGGGTATGGCCAGAGAAGTAATGTGATGTGGGTGGCCATCTTCAATTTACTGTATTAACTTTATTACAACCAAAGATAATCTTTGAAGAAATAAAATGAAATCAGTGTGCATCAGAGGTACATGGAAGACAGAGACCCATATTCCTGTTGCTAACCTCTTTCTATTTCACGATTCCCCTTCTTTCTGAATGAAGTTATGTGCAAGTCTGCCTTTCAGTTTCTTCTTACAAATTTACCTTATTTATTTATTTAAGCAGTGGGGCCACACTCAAGGGTTACTCCTGGCAGTATTCAGAGGACCATGTACAATGCCAGGAATTAAACCCAGGTCAGCCATGTTACAAGGCAAGTCACCCTACCCACTGTATTATCACTCTGGACCAAATTTACCCTATATCTTACCAACCCTGTGCCTCACACATTGTAATTTTCTCAACAAATACACATTGAGTTTGTGAAATCTAGCTTGAGTCAGGCTTATTCGAAATCAGAGAAACTTTATCTAATATACCAGTATTATTCGTCAAATGTTTATGTGTATGTCTGATATGTTATTGCTTTTTAGTCATTATAGTACTTAGTCACCAAAGAAATCCTATGAGGTAGGAATGTAATCGTATCCAACAGACTGATAGGGAATATAAGGTTGAGAAAGGTTAAATAAATTTCCAGGATGATAAAGCTACATATTATAATCAGTAGACCTTTTGCCTTTTGGTGGAAATAGTAGACTCCTTACATATGGTAGCTGTTGCATTACGTTAGGTTTACACTGGTATGTGGGTGTAAATATTTCCCTGAAAATACTTTACATTCCTTCGTGTTAGCTATGAAAATGCTAGAACTATGCGGCAAGAATGTAAAAATGGGTAGTCAAGAGACTTTTTGAAGAAATAGAGACTAAAAATGGATAACTTCTAGGAGGAGTAATTGAGCTTTTGTACTTTAACAGGCTTCTCAGTCTTATAAGCTGCATTTGCAATTCTCATATAACGTCTGTGCCTTTTTGTAATGAGCTATTTTATCATTTTTCAATGATAATATAGAATTAAAATGTTTATAGAAATAAGTTGTTATAAATAAACAAATAGGTAATGACTCATTTTTCAGCCTTTGAGACTTTCAGAGAATTAGAATGAAGTTCTAATGCGTTTTATGGCTCTTTCCTGATCTAGTAATTCAACATAAGTATTCCATGGGGCATACCCTTAAAACAAATATGTCAACCGTACCCTGAAACTGAAATTATTTTTATAGTGTTATATATCAATTAAATGTAAAAAATAAGAGCTCTATACTATAAAAGGTAAATTAAAATTTAAATAAAGACACATGAAACATTATATACAAAAAAGCAAAGAAGGAAAACTTGTCAAGTAAATGATGCTAAAACTTCATGAATCTAAAATATTTTAGTTCCAAATGAACATCATATTTGTCAATTATCAGTAACAGAATGTAAATATTTACCAACTGTATGTCCTTTACAAACTATATGTATTAAGGACTATGCCCTTTTCATTCACTTATAAGTAAACCTCTACTAAGGGCCTCTGCATTCATGGAGCTTAAATCGTGGAGCGGAAGCATAGATGGGAGAAAGATAATAAACAAGATAAATAACTATATCAGATGCTTATAGCCACGGGGGGGGGGGGTGCAGGAAAGAATGCTGGGAAGGGTCTTGCCTACGTGGATAATGTTTAGAAAAGGCCTTGCTGAGAAGATGACTTGAACAAAGGCAGAAGGAGATGGCCGTGCAGGTCACTGGAGTGGAAGAGCAGATGCAAGTCCCAGACACAGGCGCATGCTCAGGGGTGAAGGAGCAGCAGGAAGCCTATATTACTGCAGCTACACCTGAGGGAAGATAAGGGGAGAGGAGAGTAAGAAAGTTACAAGATACCCCATCTCTTGGGTCATGTCTTCCATTGAAAGAGCTTTAGCTTGGACTTGGAGGGAGAGAAGAAGCCGTTGCAAAATTTTGTGACATGAATCATGTTTCGCAGAACATGGCTTTAACAGGATCACACACAGTCTGGCTGTTCCATTATAGATGTGCTGGAGGGAGGACTTGGGCTCTTGAGAAACATGGAGATAAACAACTTTTTTATTTATAGCAATTCAGGTGAGGGACTTATGGGGACTTGGCAAAGTGACAATGGAAATGGAACAAAGTACTTGTGCTCCGGATCTTTAGAAGCACCGGTACTTGTGCTTTTACTTTTATTCTACTTGTGAAAGTAGAGGGGCTGGGGCCCTTGCGTTGTAGCCCAGGAGCAGACTACTTGGTCTAGCATGTGTCAGTCCCAGCACCACAGAATAAAAGTAGAGTGGATAGAATTTGCTGACAGATTCAGGTAGTGTGAGACAAGTGCCGCCCCCCACACACTCCCAAATTAAAACTATGTGGAATGTAAGAAGGATAGAGAAGTTATTAATGACCCTTAAGCTTTGGGGTCCCACATTTAAACGTGGACTTGCTGTTGAGGAGAGCGGCAAGACTAGAGATGCAAATTTGAGAGGAAAAATAAGATCAGTTTGAACAAATGTTAAGTTTGAGGTCCCATTAGACATCCAAGTAGGGATAGTAAATTGAAAGTAAAGGTAAAAGTAAAGGCCCTCCCGTTGATCATCGATTTGCTCGAGCGGGCCCGTAACGTCTCCATTGGAGACTTTGTTGTTACTGTGTTTGGCATATCGAATACATCATGGGGAGCTTGCCAGGCTCTGCCGAGCGGGTAAGATACTCTCGGTAGCTTGCCGGGCTCTCCGAGAGGGGCGGAGGAATTGAACTCGGGTCGGCCATGTTGGCTGCAAGCAAGGCAAACGCCCTTCCGCTGTGCTATCGCTCCAGCCAGTAAATTATTAAGTAAATTGAATGTAAGCTAAAAATAAAGAATGTGTGAGCATAGATAAAATCAACTGGGCAATTGCCAGCAAACAAATGCTATTTTTTTTTTTTAAGCAAGAAGACTGGATGAGATCACAGATGGAGTAAGTGTAAATAGAAAATGAGAAATTTAGGGGCTGGAGCCATAGATAGTAAAGTATGTGGACAATCCCAGTTTAATCCCTGGCGTCCCATATGGTCCCCTGAGCACTGTCATGAGTAATTCATGAGGGCAGGAGCCAGGAGTAGCCCCTAAATATCACTGGCTGTGGCCCCAAATCTGAAACAAAAGAATAATAATAAAAAGAAAATGAGAAATTTAAGGCCCAGGAGATAGCTCATAGTCCAGAGCACATTCTCTGCATGTGGAAGGCCGGTATTTGATCCCTGGTGCCACATGTGGTCCCCCTATCGCCTGAACACTACCAGGTATGGCCTCAAAAGCACAAATAAGAAATAAAATGGAAAGGTTAAAGACTGAGTCTTAAACTGTGTTAGTGTTTAGAGATAATGCAGATGAAAATCAGAGCAGTTTGAAAAGTAGAATAATCAGGTGATGGATGTCAGATGTTAAGGAGAGAGACGTGCTTGGCCATGTTGATTAGGACCAAGAACGGTTTTAATATTCTTAGACATCTGTGTCTATTTTAGGTTGGTTTAGGTTGATTTTTTTTCCCCTTTTCTATTTCCCTACCTCTTTGGCAATTTCTGAATGGATGTCAAATATTATTAATTTTGCCTACTTGTACTGCATATTTCATATACCTATATACATTTTGTTTATTTTGGGCCACACCCAGCAGTTCTCAGGCACTACTCCTGTCCCTGTGCTTAGGAGTTACTTCTGGTGCTCAGGAGACCACATGCAGTGCGGGAGTTAGAAGCAGGCTCAGTCACATGCAAGCCAATCACCATAACTCTTGTCTTATCGCCTCAACTCTGTGTTAGGAGACAGTCAAAGTTAAATTACTTGGAAGTGTTTCAATCTTTTTGGGACATGCTTTCAAAAATTTTTAGGTGGAACCAAGGTAGAGGTAAAATCTAAATCTAGTAATTCTACACTGTTACTGGTTGTGGCACTCGCTCGTTAGTGCCAGGGATCACACTTGTTAATGTACCAGAGGTTGTACTCAGCAGTGCCTCTGATTGCACGTGGCAGCATGGGATAGTGCCAGGTTCAAACTCACAGCTGCGTGTTCAAGGCAGGTGCTCTGCTACTAAGCCACATTC